TATCCGCTTCAGCTGTGTTCTTTCTCTATGTTCATGTGTGGGAAATACCTTTCGTGAGTGTGCTAAGGCATTATATACCCCCGCCCTCAGCCTGCTGAATGCACTTAAATCCTTGAAGAATGAAGCTAAATTCATTGAATGGCGGAGCTGGGTGAGAGATGCGAGCACCTCGTCTCGCCGATCATTCCGGTGTGGAGCTCTCGGTTTGCTTGTGTGGAGCCAAATTCCATGGAGCAGGACATTTACCCTCATACTCCCTCCGTCCAGAAATACTTTCGGAGAAATGGATGTATCTAGATGCATTTTCATCTAAAAAAATTCGTCTAAATACATTCAGTTTATCCATTCCCCGAAAAGTATTTCCCGATTGGGGGAGTATCTTTTAAGATGCCCTAGATGCCTAGGACGATCGTCCGCCTGGGCGACACAGGCGGCTAGCGATCCACTTTTTCAGGCGGCTCTCTTCCCGTGCGGCTTCCCTCGCCGCCGCCGGCAATCTCCGCCGGGCTTGCCCGTGCGGCCGACGGCGGCGGCAGGGCTCCGTTCCTGCTGCTGATCGATGGTTTTTGGCGATGTACACGCAGACGACTTGACCCAATAATCGCTGGTAGGATGCAGCGGCGGCGGTGGTTCATGACTGAGCAATGACAGCAACGTGCCTTCCCAATCCTTGATGGCGTTGTTTGCAGCAGGCGCACAAGCCACGGAGGAAAGGGAGGGGAGCCGGCACCGCCAGTCTGCCACCATGTCCCCCAATCTCGAGAGCCGGCATGTGGTGACGTTGTCTCATGCAGATCGGTCATCAGCAGTCACTTGTGAGGACGGTGCAGGTGCGCCAGATCGTCCCAACCTCAGGATTTGGGCGGTGCATGTGACCATCCTCCCTCGTCTAAGTATGCTTCTTGTTGTGCTGCTGGGATTGTGGAATCTGGAGGAGATAATTTAGGATGACTTCAGTTGGGTGGTGCTTCTCGAGCACCCAGTCTCGAGCTCCAGGGTGAAAATCCTAAGTCTGACCTTAGTTGGTTATACCTGGCAATGACGGTGTTTTTGCATCGTTACCTTGTTGAAGGCATTGCTTGGAGTTTGCTCGGACTTAATCTTCAGGGTGAAAACCCATGATCTGGCCTTTGGTAATGGATCTGGCGACGACGGCGCTTATGTGTTGTTTCCTTCTTGAAGGCGTTGCTTTTGAAGAACCCTTCTCATAGTCCTTATGTTGTCAAAGAAAAGCCGATGATGGTTGTTCTATATCGTCGATCGCTGTTTTGATCACTTCAGGATTTTTCTTTTTCATTCTTCACCTAGGCAGGGCTTCGGTCTTATATGACTTTGCTCTTTACCAACGTGATTCTTGTGTGTGTGCGTAGTGTTGGCTGTGTGCATCTTAGTTATGCAGAGGCCGGGTGTGTGCTCATTGTGTTTGTATCACTCGATGCTATATTATGAGTAAATAAAAAGCGCCCTTTATGGGGAGATGCCTAGGACGACCCTATGAAGTGGTAGATCTACTGTGGAGAAAACCATACATATATTGGATCCAAAACCCTTTCCTAGATGAGTCTCAATTCCTGGGCACTCGGATGTCGAAGTTTCATGGTTTAATTGTACAATTAGAGCTCATTATTTTCACAAATCCATCTGCTCACATGAACTGATGCATGCATTTTAAACTAGATTGGTTGCTTATTTGACAAAACCAAAAACAAAGGCATTATGTACTTATATGATCGAATGCACCATCTAGCTTACCTGATCTATGTGCTCATCCATGCTTTCACTGTTGCTGAGAATATCGATTATAGCTGATATAGAAGGTCTATCTTCTGGTTCTTTTTTCCTGCAGCGTGCCCCTATATCCAAGCATCTAGTTACTTGCTGGCATTGTGAACGTAGTGAATGCATTGGTGAATTGTTCCACCTGTGTCTCCACCTTCGAAGCACCTCCATTGAACAAATGATATTTCTTATATTAGGCTGGTATATATAGTATGTGTCCTGAAAAGTGCATCAACCTCTCTTTCTTTTTGCGGGGAAAAGGAGCATCAACTTGACCACTGAGCAGAACACAAATACATGCCATGTATGCGCATGTAGTATAATACCCCCCCCCCCCTCTTTCCACAC